ATTATGGGCTATGGAGTCAGTCTGGCTCATAGTGACCCTGTAACGGGTTTCCAAGGCTCTAAATCTTTACATGAATAGAAAGTCTCTTCTTCTTCCTGCAGAGCGAATGGTGGATTCCAAGTACTGACCTTGTAGTTAGCGGTCCAGCTTGAAATCCACTATGCTACCTAGGCTCCTTAGGACAGTACCTATATATTTGTTGTTGTTGTTGTTGTTAGGTGCCATCGACTCAGTACCAACTCATAGCGACCTTTTGCACAGCAGAATGAAACACTGCCCGATCCTGGGCCAACCTCACTATTGTTGCCATGCTTGAGTCCACTGATGCTGACACTTGGCCAATCCATCTCAATGGGGGTCTTCCTCTTTTTCTCTGACCCTCCACCTTACCAAACATGATGGTCCCTCCTGATCATATGTCTGAATTATGAGAGACAATGTTTGGCCATCCTGGCCTCCAAGGAGCACTCTGGCTGCGCTTCTTCCAAAACGAATCTATTGTTTTTTTTGTCAGCCCAAGGCACTTTCAATATTCTCCTCCAACACCGTAATACAAAAGCATCAATTCTTCTACGGTCTTCCTTATTCACTGTCCAGCTTTTGCATGCATATGAGGTTATTGAAAATACCATGGTTTGGGTCAGGCGCACATTAGTCCTCAAGCTGACATCTTTGCTCTTAAAGACTTTAAAAAAGTCTTGGGCCGCAGATTTGCCTTATGCAATATGTTGTTTGATATCTTGACTGTTGCTTCCATGAGTGTTAATAGTTGACCCAAGAAGAATGAAGTCCTTGACAACTTCAATCTTTTCTCCATTGATAAGAATATTGTTTATTGATCCAGCGGTGAGGATTTTTGTTTTCTTTACATTGAGATGAAATACATAACGAAGGTTGTGCTCTTTCATCTTCATCAGTAAATGTTTTAAGTCCTCTTCACAAGCAAGGTTGTATCATCTCCGTATCGCAGGTTGTTAATGAGTCTTCCACCAAACCTGATGCCACATTTTTCTTCACAGAATCCAGTTTCAAGGATTATTTGCTCAGCATACAGGTTGAATAAGCATGGTGAAAGAATACAACCCTGTCACATACCTTTCTTAATTTTAAACCATTCAGTGTTCCCAAGTTCTGTTTGAAAAACTGCCTCTTGGTCCAGGTAGAGATTTCTCATGAGCACAATTAAGTGTTCCAGCATACTCATATTTCACAATGTTGTCCATAGCTTGTCATGATCCACACAATCAAAAACCTTGGCATAGTCAATAAAGCACAGGTAAACATCTTTCTGATATTTTCTGCTTTCAGCCAAGATCCATCGGACATCAGCAATGATATCCCTCATTCCACGGCCTCTTCTAACTCCGGCTTGAACCTCTGGACGTTCTCTGTTAATGTATATTTGCAGCCATTTCTGTATTACCTTTAGTAAAACTTTACTTGCATGGAATATCAAAGAGATTGTCCGATGATTTCCGCATTCCGTTGGGTCACCTCTCTTTGGAATGGGCACAAATATGGATCTCTTCCTATTAGTCAGCCAGATAGTTGTCTTCCAAATTTCTTGGCAGAGATGAGTGAGTGCCTCCTGTACCACCTCACACTCTTGAAAGATTTCAATTTTTATTCCAACAATTCCTGGTGCCTTGTTCTTTGGCAATTCCTTCGATGTACCTTGGACTTCCTCCTTCAGTATCATTGGCTCTTGATCATATGCTACCTCTTGAAATGGTGGAACATTAACCATTTCCTTTTGGTACAGTGACTCTGTGTATTCCTTCCATCTTCTCTTGATGCTTTCTGCATCATTCAATAATTTGCCCAGAGAATCTTTCAATAACGAAAGTCAAGGTTTGAATTTTTTCTTCAGTTCCCCTAGCTTGAGCAATGCTAAGCATGTTCTTCCTTTTTGGTTTTCTGATTCCAGATCTTTGCACATTTTGTTGTAATATTTGGCTTTACCTTCTCGAGCTGATCTTTGAAATTTTCTGTTCAGTTCTTGGCCCTCCTCATTTCTTCCATTTGCTTTAGCATCTCTACTCTGGAGAGCAAGTTTCAGTGTCTCTTCTGACATCCATATTTTGATCTTTTCCTTCTTTCTTGTCTTCTTAATGACTTTTTGCTTTCTTCATGTATGGTATTCTTGATGTCATCCCACAACTTTTCTGGTCTTCGGTTTTTAGTGCTTAATGCATCAAATCTGTTCTTCAGATGATCTCTAATTTCAGGTGGGATATATTTAAGGTCATATTTTGGCTCTCGTGGACTTGTTTTCATTTTCTTCAGTTTCAGTCTGAATTTGCATTTGAGTAACTGATGGTGCATTCCACTGTCTGCCCCTGGCCTTGTTTTGACTGATGATATGGAGCTTTTCTATCATCTCTTTCTGCAGATGTAGTCAATTTGATCTCTATATATTCCATCTGGTGAGGTCCATGTGTATAGTCGTCTCTCAAGGATTTGTACATTATAAATTCCTTCTTTAGACAGCATAAGAGTGCCTAATATGTACTATTAGTTTAATTACATTATCTATATTAATCAGCTTACATCTGCTTTGACCATGGCTTCTCAAATTGACATGTTTTCTTTTAAAGACATAATATATTTATACTAATTTTCAGTCCACAATGGAAGAATATATTCTTAAGAGTTAAATGAATCCCACAAATAAATAAAAGTCCACACTTCCTTAATCAAAATGTTCCTTTAAGAAAACGGTCTGACTTCTTAATAGCAGAGAAACTTAAATACAACTACAATGTAAAATAGGGCACTCTGGTAATGCAGTGGTTACACATCAGGCTGCTAACCTTAAGGTCAGCAGTTTGAAACTACCAGCAGTTCCATGGCAGAAAGATGAGGCATTCTGCTCCTGTAAGGATTTAAAGCCTCAGAGACCCTGTACAGGTTCACTATGAGTCAGAACCGACTCCACGGCACATAACCACCACCACCACACAATGGGAAATATATCCAAGTTCGATGATGGTCCAAACTGGTTATGCAGCTCCTTGCTTTTCTTTTTTCTCTCCTTTGTTATCTGTTCGTCTGTAATTTTCTCTTGGTTACTCTCTCAATAAAAGATAAAGGGTGGAAAATTACAATAAGTTTATTTGTGCTAAAATAAAATCACTATTTTTAAAAATAGAGGACCCAATGTTTTTGGTTTTAAGAAAGAAAAAAA